GGTTGCGACAAGTTCGACTCAGATGAAAAGATATACTATGTCGACCTTAACGCTGCGTACATGAGGTTCGTCCAATATATCCCGACTGGAATTCCAAACGAAGACGGTGAGTTCCCAGGAAGGAACTATACAGTTGGAAAAGTCATACAACAACTGTATGATATTAGGAAAGCTTCAAACCCCAAACTTGCAATGACACTCAAATTGCTTATGAATTCGACATGGGGATATTCCATTAAGAAACCTCAAAAGATGAAGAGTAAACACTATGAGAAGGTCGACAACTTTGTTGAAAGGTTCTCCCCTTTTGTTTTGAAATACGAATTTACTCAAGGTCAAGGTGGCTTAGTAACCACAGTAAAACCTATTGTCGAACATTGGTCTTACCCTCAGTTCGCAAAGGCAGTCCTTGACAACTACAACAAATTCTTCTCCGAAGTTAAATCCAAAGTGAAGGTTTACTATGAGAACATCGATGCGCTCATGACGAACGAAGAAGGCTATAACAAACTCATTGAAATGGGAATGGTCGGTGAAAAGATGGGTCAATTCAAATTGGACAAAATTTTCACCGAAGTTCATGTCCTCTCCAAGCGTAAGTACTGGGGCATACTTGAAGACGGCACAGAAATAAAACATTGCATGAAATAAAAAATTTTTATTCGAATTTGAATCGGACAGGTCGAGTTACACCATTCTTGGTCTCAAACTCATATATAACCTGTTTGTCTGTATTTTCGTCGACTATGGCACGAGACACGAACATTGACCAAACGGACAAAAAGTGTCATTTCGGATGGTCCCGCAGCCAATCGCATTCGAGCACTTCGAAGAAGCCTTACGTTCCAAGGGAGAGGGTGTCTGGTGCAAGGCAGAGGTCATGAGACTCTACGAGCAGTACATCCTCAATGCCTGGGAGGACAAATCGTCCTTGGAATGGCAATTCTACCAACTCCTCTGGGACGACCTCCTACGCAACTGGGATGACGAAAGAGTCCAATTCAGAGGTCAGGAACTACTTGTCCAAATTATCCTTAATTTAAGCCGCTTACGCAACTAAAAACTTAAATTTACTCGGGGTTTCCCCCTAAAATAAAATTTTTTTACTCTTAGAACCACTCGAGGTTCTCCTTACGGTTGTTGAGCTTGTCACCGTCAATGTGTCTGACCTTCGTCCTCTTGTTTGGATTTGGAACCCATTGAATTGCGACAAGCTTGCCCATGGAGATTGAACCGTAATTCCGAAGGGTAAGGTTCAAGTGTCCCAAGTTGTTGAGAACTGGGGTAAGAACCTTGCCGGTCTCCTTGTTGCGGATTTGGTATGGGTAGGGTTGGGAAATTTCGTAAGTGTCATCGGCAACAAGGGTTGCCCAAACTTCCTCTTCTTCGTGTTTCTCTTCTTCCTCTTCTTCCTCTTCCTCTTCTTCGTGTTTCTCTTCTTCCTCGACAATTCCTTCGGCAATTCTGTGTTCACGAAGTACGGTGTTGGAGGTTCTGTCCTTTCCGAGTACCTTCCAGATGGCGTCTATCTCTTCGAAGAAACGGTAGATGAGTCTGGCAAGGTCTCGGTTCTCTCTCGCGTAAATGCGCAAGGTTTCCGTCAAATCGTTCAGGACTTTCTCATTGGAAGCTTGGTTCATGAGGAACTCACCTTTAAGTCCCTTCATCTCTTCCATAAGACTACTTTGGAGAGTCTTAACGGTGTTTGTCAGATGAGCTTTCAAATTCAAAATTTGAATTTGAACTGGGCGCTTGTCTGGCAACATTGAAAGGACATCTTCCATTGTGTTCGGCTTCGGTGCTTGTTCGGACATCGAAAAAATGAAGTGGTTTGAGAATGACGGTTTTACTTCAAAAAGCTTGTTATGACGGTTAAGTCATACAACAAGTTTAAAATAATATCTTGTTCTTCTTCTGAACGTTTGTTGTCTCTTCCGATAAAAGTTTCGAACATGAGAACCAAAAAACGTTTTTTGAGATTGCGGAAGAGTTCAGGCAAACGTTCATATTCTGGATATGTTGGGAGCAGTTCAAAACATCTGAGCTGACTTTCGGACAAAATTGGGACAATGTCAGAAAATTCATCTTTGGTCGGACTGCTTGAAGGTAAGTCCCTTACATGTAAGTAGCTCTGGTAAAGTCTTCTCATTTCTGCTAACTTTTGGAGTATAGCTTCGTAGTTTAGAAGTTTTAATTTTAATTGTCTTATTCCACTCTTTACTTCTAAACGGTAAGTATCCATGAGGTCAAGAGTAGCTTTGGTAGCTTTAAGTGGAGCTATTTGTTCCTTGACTTCTGCAATTTTGGTTGCAATTGTGGTTTGAGCTCCTTCAAGTTCGCCGTCTATGTCGTTCTCAACACCTTCAACCATAGCTTGAAACTCTTCATCGGTCCATTGAGTTTGGTGTGGGACGAATTTAACTTGCTTCATTCAAAAAATGAAAAAAATGTTTTTACTCAAAGCGTGCCATGTATATGGCTATAAGAAACTTACCAGAAGGCTTCTTCTTCACATGAGTCTTCGGCAACTTGAGAGTTCTTGTTGGAGTTGGGTCTGGAATTTCAATTCTCTCTCGAGCGCAACAACAGATGTCAGAATAACATTCCCCACTGTCTTTCTTGCCACCATAAATTGTGTATTGACCGAACTTGCATTTGCAGGAAGACCGGTCAATACAAGGTTCACAGTTGAAATAGTTGTACACAAACCTGTTGAGTACGAGTGTGAGTAAAAACATAAAAAAAGTGAAGTTAAAATGAGATGTTTACTGAATTGGTTGGATGTCGCCTTCTGAGGTTATGAAGAACGGCTGTCCAGAGTAGTGAAGTAGTGCTCTGAGAATTTGTGTAATTCGTGGAATTGGGCTCTCACGATATGGAAGTAGTATCCAAGGACGTTTCATGAAGAACTTCAAGAGGGCTTCTTTCTTCACATCCTTAATATCATCGAATGCAGTGCCTTCTGGAACTTGAATTGCAACACCTGTTTCAATTTCCAACTTTAAGACACTATTCTTGGACAACCAGAAGCCAATGGACTTGCTTGGTTTGCACTTGCTGAGATATTCCTTCACGGTTTCATTTACCTCAATTAGATAAATTGCTTCGTCTAAGGGGTCAAGCTCCATACTGAGTCAGTACAATATTGTACTTTTTCAAGACAATGTTGTACTTTTTCAAGACAATGTTGTACTTTTTCAAGACAATGTTGTACTTTTTCAAGACAATGTTGTACTTTTTCAGAACAATGTTGTATAAATTCAGTACAATGTCTCTCAAATTTGAGTACGGCTGTACTTTTTCAGAACAAGTCTTGAACTTTTTCAGAACAATGTTGTACTTTTTCAGAACAATGTTGTACTTTTTCAGAACAATGTTGTACTTTTTCAAGACAATGTTGTACTTTTTCAAGACAATGTTGTACTTTTTCAAGACAATATTGTACTTTTTCAAGACAATATTGTACTTTTTCAAGACAATATTATATTGTTTCAGAACAAAGACGGTTAAGACACAAACGAATGTCCGACGTCCCACCTACTGAACCCGTTCCACAGCCAGAAGAACAGCATGCTCCAGCACCACAACAGGTTCCACCTCCACAAGGCTCCCCACAGCAACCTCAGTTCCAACAAGGACCTCCGAATTACTACCAATTTCCACCTCAAGGTTACTACCCACCACAAGGCTTTCCAAACTACCCACCACAAGGCTTTCCAAACTACCCTCCTCAACCCATGCCTTACTTCCCTAACCCTTGGATGTTCATGTCAAACCCTCCACCCCAATTCAAATTCCAATCTCAGTCCAAGAGAGACCAAGAGTTCGAAGAAGGTCTGAACCGTTTACGCAAAGAGTATGCCACAGCCCCTATGGAAGAAGACAGGCTCTCACTCTCTTCCCTCAAATCGACCGATTCGACTCGTACCACAGATTCGGTTCGTGACCGTGAAGACTACCTCAAGCAGTCTGAGAGACTCTTCATCCTACAACCATTTACAACTGGAGCTCTCAAGAACATGCGCAATTACGAAGGTCAGACACCAGCTGGAGACCGTAAAACAGACGTACTCGCAAGAGCAGTCCAACTGGTCAAGACAAAGACCGAGATAGTCGACTTCATTCTTGCAGCTTGCCCATACAAGTAAAAAATAAACAATTACGAGTTAAACTTTTTATTCTTTCTTTTCTGAGTTGTTTAGAGCTGGTTTCTCTTGTAGAAACCTTTCGTACTCTTCCATGGTCATGTAATTGCGAATTTGGTACGCAATTCCAGGTTCGTTGTTTTTGAACCTTACGTATGTAACGCTTCCATCCTCCTCAGGGAAGTAAGCTGCTAACATCTGACCAAGTTTTCTCGGTGACTCGGAGCTCATAAAAATGTCACTTTTTAAACGTTAAGTTTTTAGTCTTATTTTACCCTTTGTTTACCCTTTGTTTGTCAAGGTAGTATTGGAGTGCAATTTCTCCAAATTCTCTGTGTCGGAGTTCTTCAGCATTTTCCAAGGTGTGCCTGGAGAACTCAAAGAAGTTGTCAAGAAGATACTGCCATGCTGCTCTTCTGAGTTCGTCGGTATTTTGGAAGTGTTGCACCTTCGAGTCTTCGGACATGAAAAAATAACACTTTTTCAGCAAAAATAATGTTTATGTTAGAATGTTAGATCTAACATGTTTTCTAACACGTTTTCTAACATGGTCTAAAACTCTTGAATTTTCATGAGTTTTCCCGAAATAAAAAATAAAGTTGGTTTTTTTAAAAAAATATTTTTTTATTTTGTATAAAAAATATGATTTCAACAATCGGCACAACAACAGTTCAAACAACTACAGCACCAAACTCGTTAGTTATGAATCCAACATCTATGTTGGTAGAGATGAAAAACTTCATTCCTTCTTCATATACTTTCGAAACAAAAATCCAGAAGATAAAGCAAGAACTTTTAACAAGTAATTTAGACTGTAGTGCGAAAGATGAAACAAATGAACAGTATCTTTATGAAATGCAGGACATTATTGACCATTTACCCAAATTGCCTGAAATCCAACAACAAAAACTCACTATTCCTGAATTCGACGAAATTGAAGTTAAAGTTACTGACTCAGTAGAAATAAAGAAGTTCATACGAAAGGTAAACTATGAGTTTCTAGGATTTCATTGCAACCATAAGGTTATGGACAAAGATTGCGACATGGTATATAAGAACATCTCTGACCTTTACAAATCCGAAGAATTTAAGACCTACGACAACTTTGTTTCATTAGTTGCAAAATGTGTTTGGGAAATAAGAGATAAAGATAGAAGAGGTAAGGTATGGAACGAACAAATAAGACCCGCTATGTTCGAGATGAAGAGAGCAATTGACGCCTTAGTTGTTTTAGCAGGTAAGGTTTCAGAATATAACGCAAAAATGAACCCGCAATGTTCTAAATGTAAAGCAGCAATGAGGAAATATAACTACTCAGTCAAAGAGATAGAAAGAATGAGAAACGACTATGCAGACTTAAAGAAAGAAGCAGAAAAGCCAGCAGAAGATAAAATGAACATGTTAGCATTTCTGAACAAAAACTATCCAACTGCTGACGATTTCCTTCTATCTGACGTCAAGAAGAAGTATAAAGAAACTTTCGGTATCGTTAAAACATTCGATGTACTGACAGAAGAAATAGAAGCTACGAAATTGTTTAGAGTCATGAACCATCGCAACATATACCATGTAAAACGCTTGTAAATAGTTATGTTAGAAAACATGTTAGAAAACATGTTAGATCTAACATTCTAACATAAACATTATTTTTATTGAATTCCGTATGAAATTTCATGAATTTTGTATGTTTTAGACCATGTTAGAAAACATGTTAGAAAACATGTTAGATCTAACATTCTAACATAAACATTATTTTTATTGAATTCCGTATGAAATTTCATGAAGAACAGCGAGTAGTGAAAAAACCCTGGTCGCCAAAACTCTTTATTTTTCAAGCTTGACTTTTTACAATTTGAACTTTGTTTGCGTAGATATGAATTCTGAAAGAAGTATGAGGGTCTTGTATGACTTTGTACTTCTCCCATAGTTCATGTCTGTCAAACTTACCTGCCATGGACTCTTTCATAAGTTCCATGAAATCGTCTTCGGACAATCCAGGGAAAAGTATGATATCAGTAAGTATTCTCTTTACATCCTTACTTAAACTCTTGCTGTCTGTACACAAATGACAACTGAAATGTTAAAGTGTCTGAGCTTCTTGAGAATTCGACACATGTCTTGTTCTCTGTTCTTTAACAAAGGATGAGAAGCAAAGTCATCTAAGATAAGAAGACATCTATGAGGGTAAGTCTTCCAATCGTAAGATTGCAATTTCTTCGAAATGTATTCTATCTCTTTCTGTTTGTTTCTGAAGTGTTTCTTCTCTAATATTCTCTGCATTTCCTCATTTGGGTCTTTAAACTTCGAATTGACATACTCATTTATAGCATTGTACTTCAAAACTCTTCTTTGGTACTTCTTTATCCAATCTAACAACTCAGAGTCTTTTATACATACTAACTTAGACTTCTTTATAATATCTTTGAACGAATTGACGGTTTGGTCAAATTGACCAGAAGTACTACAAATGACAACTAACTCATAGAATGGGTTCTTCTCATCTAGTTCTTGTTGTTGTGCAGCCATTTTAAGATAAGTGAAAGTCTTACCCGACCCAGGTGGTGCAATTAGACCTGTTATACCATTCTGAGCAAATAAGAACTTGTCATGTATAGGCTTTATCTGAGCATTTTCTAACTTCCTCTTGTTCTTGTTTAAAACATTCTCAAATTTCTTGTCAATGTCAGCAAACTTTTTTTCTAACATATTTTTAGAAAAATTAAAATTTTATCTTTTAGAAAATGTCTAGCGATTTCGCTATCTATATTCGAGACAAACTTTTCGACAGCAAAACATCTGTCGACCATAAAATCTTACATAGTGTCAACAAGAAAGGTGAATTTGTTCTAAAGTTCTGTTTCTGGGAATATGACAAGAACCATAAAACATTAAGCAGAGAAGTCTTTAAGTTTGTCAATGACAGACTTGTTGACAGAGATGACGCCGATTGGAAAGATGAAGTCCAACAAAAGTTCTTAGAATGCAAAGAAGACACATGCGCTGTTCTTGAAGATGAAATAGAAAACAGAATAGAAGAGCTATTAAAGGACAAAGACTTTTACATAAATATGGTTGCGCCAAATTTGACATAACTCCACCAGAGAAGAAGAAGAAGAAGAGAGAAAAGAAAGAAAAGAAAGTAGAAGAAGAGAAGAAAGAGCCAGAGCCAGAGCCAGAGAAAAAGAAATTTGACATGTAAAAATAAAATTTTATTTTTAGAACATTTCTGGGTCAATGTCAATGTTCTCTTCCTCTTTAGGAGCAAACACTGGTTTAGACTCTAAAATCTTTTTACCCAATTTACCTTGAACTTCAACTATCTTAGACTCATAATATTCATAGTCGTCTGCTTTCTTTGGTTCATAAGGTATAACAAGTTTGTATGCTTTGCCTTCTTTAAGGTTTGAAAACCTTCTGTCAAAATTTTCTTTGACTGCTAACAAACCTTCTATGTCTAAGTCTTCAAATTTCGCACCATTTTTAGTCACAATAGCAAACTTAACTGGTTCGATGTTCCAAACTTTGTCAAATGTAGACTTTTCAAAATGGTAGAAGTAAACATTCAAATAAGCGAATGGGTCTAGTTCTTCTTTGACTTCTGTCATGTACTTGTTGACTGAAATATATTTCGTCATCTTTTCTATCGGATAAAAAAATATTTTTTTTAAATTTACTCATAAAAATTTTTCTTTGTATATACGCCGTTCTGTATGTCTAAAAGATTTTTGACATTTGCCAAGAATGTACGTTTAGAAGCTGCCATATAACCATACTCTTGACAATATTGTTTATATGAATCGTACAATGACCTTTCATCTAAACACTCAAAGTTAGTCTCATCTATGAACAGTTCATATACACTCTTGTTTGCTTCTAACAATGTTTGTCTTCTTCGGTATGTGGAATTTGTCTTGGATTGAACTTTGAAATATCTAATGTCATGAAATATGAGAACAAGTGGTTGTAAAAGTTAGGTGTCAAAGTTTCTGCTAAGTCGTCAAAATATTCTGTATCTTGCATATGAGAATCTGACGTTCTGACAACTACATATCTTCTGTCAGAACTTTCTAACTTCATCGGAACAACATTGTTTGAAACCATGACGAAGTTTGCAACATTTTCACAAACTCTTTGGTCTTATACTTTCTTTCAACAACTCCAACTTTGTCTGTTATAAGACTCTTCAAAGCATCTGAGTTTAAAACCTTTGTTGTATCTATACTTTGAAGTTCGTTACATACTATAAGTTTCATATTCTCTATTGAAGAGTTAAATTTACCGCAGATGTTTTCTAAGTTTGTCATATTCGGGTTCTAATAGCCCTCTAACAGTTTGCATAAGATATCTGTAAAGAAAGTGTTCTTACCTGTTCCTTGTTTTCCAATTATGATGAGAGCAGTTTCATTTTTAGCACTTGGATGTTGTAAGATGTTTGCAAACCAACATAAGATATACTCATAGACTCTTTCGTTTCCATTGCATATAATTTCTTTGACATGGTCTAACCAAGCTTCTATAACATTTTCTTTCCATTCTACTTGTTCGTATTTATATCCAGTGAAGATAGAATAGAAGTTTGGAGATGGTGTATAGAACTTTATACCACGAACTGAAAAATCTTCTAACTTTGACAATAAGATATCCCAAGCATCTAACATCTTCATACCAACTTGTACGACTTTTATTTTCTTAAGTTTCTGTCTACATTCTTGTTCTGAAACTATTGTTGCTCTTGGTTTGTTAAAGACAACATCCCATTCTTTCATGACATAACATTCTGGGGCAGAGTCGACATAAATGACTAAACGTTTCAAATTCTCGACTGCTTTGTTATAGTCTCTAAATGGACACATATTTCTGAACGCTTGGAAGTCATAAAAATCTGAAACGTCTATTCTGTACATTTTTATAAAAATAAAAAAAATATTTTTTTTATTCTTGACTTTGTTGTTGCATTTGTTCCATTTGTTGCATTTGTTGCATTTGTTGTTCTTGAGCTATTTGTTGTTGAAGTTGTTCTTGTAGTACAATACTTTCACCAGTTGCATCTTCCAATTCGAAACTTTCTGCCGTCATTGACAAATACATAGGACATAAAAGTTTTACAGGAACAAAGTTTGCGTCAACTAAGGTTAAGTTTATGTTTGCTAAAGTGTTTGAGTTTACTAAAGCTGAAAACTCTGCATTCGAATGAACAATAGGCAAACCAGCAGAGAAAGTGTTGTTTATACGCATGAGTATCTTTTGGTCATAGTAGTTTCTGTCGACATTCGAATAGCACTTTGAACCTAAGTTTGAAACAATATATAAAATAGGTGTACTTAAAGTCAATGGAACAGACAAACCTTGTATGACACCTTTTCCTGTTATAGGAAACTGTTGGTAGTAAAAACCAGATATAAGTTTTGTATTATAGCTCATATCGTTTATAGTAAACTCAGTCGGACATCCAAACATAATGAAACCTGCTCTAGTTGCAGCACATGTTACATCCGTCCTTAAAGTATTAAATAAGTCAACAAAACCTGTTGGTGGTATATCTGAGTAAGTATCTTCAAAGAAGTATTTTTTACCATTCACAACAACAAAGTCTTCTGGTGTCAAAAGAGCAAAACAGGCTTTAGTCGTCATCGTGTTTAAGGTCAGTTTACAATATCGTCCTTGAGGACTTTGTAAGTTTGTTGTTATAGAATTATATGACTCAGGGTTTTTAGTCGTAATAGTATAAACCACTATGTCTTCTGCCATTTACTTAGCAAGTAAATTTTAATGAAATGTTGTGGTCGTCAAATATTTTTATGACGTCTGGGAAACTATATTTTAAGTTCAACGTTTCACCTCCTTTCATAACGTATATCTTGTCAATGACATTATATGAAACACCACAGCAACTAATGTCGGGTTCTATTTCTTTGATGTTTATATCGTCTGCCTCTGTCAAAAGTTTCAATAGTTCTTTCAAAATTTCATGAGGTGCAATGACATATGAGTTCACTTTTACAGGGTTGTGTTCGACCAAGTTTAACATTATACCAAAGCTTGACAAATCTTCTCCTGAGTTTTAAGTTTGTCTTTAAGTTGTTGGTAGTCGTTTCGAATATCTGCAACAGAACTTAAGTCTCTGCTAACTTCAGGTATGTTGGTTGTTCTTTTACAGGAACTATTGTTATACCATCTTCGTCTTCGTATGGTTTCCCCACTTCAACATCTCTTTCTTTGACATTGACAACAACACTTTGACTGTTTGTTTGAGTTGGTGAATTTAACTTCACATCTGCCACCGCCATTAAACCTTTTGAAACACTTACGCTTCTATTTTTCGGAAATGACATTTTACTTAGAATAAAAAGATGGACGTATTCGAGTATCTCTTCGAATTGAAGCAGAACAAAGTTTACACACACAAACAATACAAATACATTGACAGAATAGTTCTTTATACAAACAATGGAAAATGTTATAGAATAGCATATTTGCTGAACCAAAATATTTTCATAAAGCAAAGAAAGTTGGTATAACTGAAATGGTGAAAGTTCTTGAAGCAGACAAAAATATAACAACAAAACTGACCGATATTTCTAAAG